TGCTATTTTTATAAGAATTATTGCTCTGTTTTCATTTTTAGATTATACACGTTTGTTTGTTTTTTTTTGTCGGTCATGGGGCTTGAACTCTGGGCTTGGGCGCTGTCCCTCAGCTCTTCAGCTCAAGGCAAGCGATCTACCACTTGAGCTACAGTGCCACTTCCGGTTTTCTAGTGGTTTATTGGAGATAGGAGTCTCATGGTCTTTCCTGCCCGGGCTGGCTTTGAACCTCGATTCTCAGATCTCAGCCTCCTGAGTAGCTAGGATTACAGGCGTGAGCCACCGGCGCCCAGCTAGATTATACATGGTTTATGTTTAGACATACAATGGCTTTTTTTTTTTTTTTTGGGTCCGGTCATGGGGCCTGAATTCTGGGCCTGGGCACTGTCCCTCAGCTCTTAAGGCTAGCGCTCTACCACTTGAGCAATAGCGCCACTTTCGGCTTTTTTCTTTTTGCTTATGTGCTGCTGAGGAATCGAACCCAGGGCCTCAGGCATGCAAGGCAATTGCTCTGCCATTGAGCCACCTTCCCAGCTTTGGACCTGATCTTAAGGGGAAAGTTTCAGTCTTTCATCAGTAAGTTTTCTGGTAACTATGGATTTCATAGATGTCCTGACACTTGAGGAGTTCCTTTTCCTAGTTTTATTGTTATATTAAAGAATAATTTTTATTTTTATTTATTTTTTTGTCGGTTGTTGGGCCTGAACTCTGGGCCTGGGTACTGTCCCTCAGCTCTTCAGGTCAAGGCTAGCACTCTACCAGTTGACCCACAGCGCCACTTCTGGCTTTTCTGCTTATGTGGTGCTGAGGAATCAAACCCAGGGCCTCCTGCACTCAAGGCAAGCACTCTTCCATTAAGGCACCTTCCCAGCCCCAGCCTTGCATTTTTGGCTAAATCTCACTTTGTCATGGTATATCACTCCTTTGGGCTACTAGTACTTCCTTGGGTTTTATTTGTTGCTAACTACTGTGCTATGGTGCACATATCCACTCAGCTCTGGAGGCATGAGGAAAATTGGGTACTGCAACACTCTCAGGAAGGGCTGAGCAGGCCTTCCCGTCTCATTTGCAGGTCCAGAAGTTATGGCCACATAGAGGATGCTCATTTAGTCCTTGGCAGCCGCAAGGGAAATGTGGATATTCTCTCCAGGCTGCAGGTGAGTTAGCGTATTCATTGTGTAAGTGTCCCCTGGTGAGGTGTTTATGACAGACTTCCATACTGGTGCCATATTACCAAGCAGAGTGGAAACTCAGGTCATCCAGACTGTGGCTGAGATGCAGAGTGTGTGTCTGAAGTTGTTCTACAGATGAGCATCACAGACACGTAGTACAGCTTTGGCAGTAGAGTTGCTCCATGATCTCTAACTCCTGGCTACTCCACTGAGCATCACACTCTTAGAAAAGACAAGAACGAGTTTCAGTTTGGCAGAAGACAAGAGAGTATGGAGTTGCAGGCTTCCAGGGTTCTGCAACCTATGGGAGAGACAGGGCATCAGTGAGTGTGCACCTGTGTGCTCACACCACATGAGCATTTTGTATCTGTGATCACACCTGCAAGCATGCACCTGTGTGCTCACACTTCACATGAGTATGTATCTCAGCAATATCTCTCCATTGATTCTGGAGTGTTTGGAAGCCTTCCTCCTGCCTCCATGCCACTGTGCCCACTTGGTTGTCCTGGGAGCATGCATTTGTAAGCTCTTCTGTTGTTGTTACTAAACACTTAGGCACATCAACTTAGAGAAGGAAAGATTTTTGGCTCCTTGTTTGAAAAGCCTTGAGGAAGTAGCAAGTCCTAGTGGGGAGGGCGTATTTAAGCAGAGCTAGGAAATAAGGAGAGACTGGAAACAAAACATATGCTTCAGAGACAAGCACCCAGTAACCTTCCTCTAACAGGTCTCATCTTAAGTTTCCACCACCTCCCCAGGCTTCATTCCACTACGAATCTATCACTTGATTAATCCGTACCTGTTGAGATCAGAGCTGTCATGACCCAGTAACCTCTGAACACTTTGGGGATCAAGCCGGAAGCTTATGGCCTTTGAGAATGTGCAGATATAAACCATAACAGACATGTGTGGTTTTATTTGATAAAATGCTATTTGTTGATTCTAGCTGACATTTTTCAAGGGCCTGAATTTTTAATATGGGGAGTAAAAAACCATAGGTTGTGAGTACTTGGGGAATCCATTCAAACATATGGTAAACATCCTACAGAGAAAGCGAACCACAGTCTCTTCCCCCTCACCTTAACCTCTCTCCTCCCCATCCACCCTCTTTGGGTTTGGAGGAAGGAGGGAGCCACTGCATGGGCTGTGACTCGATGTAGACAGGATGTACGTGGGCACCTTCAGTCAGCACATGCCACCCCCGGCCAGGCCCATTCCTGCTTGCTGTCCCCAGCCTCCTTCCTCCTCAGCCTGACACAGTCCCTCAGAACCCAGCCTATCTGGCTTACTCCTCTTAGAAATACAGCTGGTCCTGCTGCTGCTGCTTGTCTCCGCACCATGCCCGCAGTGTCTGGCAGGGGCTCTGACCTACAAGTTGGGGCTCTGTGCATATGGTAGACTCTGGGTAAAGAAGGAACTGGATTTTCCAGTCTTTTCTCCTTACCCTCTGAAACCACACATGGTGTAGCCAGAGAAGTGACAAATGAGTTCTTAACAGAAGCCGGGATGGGAGGGGAGAATGGTTCCAAGTAAAAGAGCTTGTGCTCTTGCTACCTTCATCCCTGTGAAAATCTCTCTCCCAAGCTCATCCCCTGGGGCTCCTGTCTGAGACTCACAGCAGGCCTTGACAACTTTCTGCCCTGAGTCTGGTTACGTGTTTTTCCAGGAGATGATTGTGGACCTAGAACTGGAATGGGGCTGCTCCCAGAGACACGTCCTCTTCGCTGTGTTCTGCAGGAGGCTCCAGGCCCTGGAGCGTGGAGGCAGTGTAGCCTCCAGCCTCAGGAGGCAGCAGGAGCTCCTCATGTGCAAACGGTACCAGGCAGCACCACAATTTCTTCTGAGTTTCATTCTGCTAGTTCTGTTTCTGTCTTCCCATGCTAAGCCTGGAATGTTTTCATTCCTTGGTGGCTCCTGCTGGAGCAGGACTGGAGGTATGAAGGGTGCTTTGGGTTAAAAGTAATTCCACGTACTCCAAGATGTACACTTCTGCTGTTTAGGTTTCACCCTCCAATTGTGCCTCATTCGGCCATGGGGCACCCTTCTACGTGTTGTACACAAATATATATGTATATATATGGAGAGAGAGAGACAAAGTGTCTGCTCCAGCTTAAGCCCGGGTTGGGGGCAGAGACACTTTTGTGCTCAAAACCAAGGGCTTGGGCAGGGTCAGTGGGAACAGCTGTGACATAACCCATTCCTCCCAAGGCTTCTCCTCCACCTGCCTCCAACTGTTCTTGTTGGCAGCCTGAAGACCGGACAGCCTATCACCCCCAGCTGTGAGGAGTTCTTTCACCTGGTCAATTCTGAGTTGGTAGGTGTAGATGCTCTACATGCCAGCCTTCCCCCCTCACTGCCAGCTCTACTCGTTTGCCTTATTGAAATGTTTTACAGAAAAACTGCTGTTGCCGTGGTGGTACACTGACTGAGGACATCACCATCCACTTCTTCAGGGTAACCCACACATACTGTGACCTCAGGGACCCTTGGGATGAGTGCCCTTGGGTCTAGGTTCTCATGGTGGGTGGGCTCTGGCAGGCTGCCGAGCTATGGTGTACTCTGTTGCAGGGACTCCTCAGTGCCTGTTTACATAGCCCAGACCCCTCACTGACGGCCAATCTCACTCTGATGGAGTGCCAGACCAAGTGCCCCCTGATTCTGACCTCTGCACTGGTAAGCCTGGCCATCTCGGGGGACAATATTTAGCGTAGGCTTGTCTCAAATTTGTGAACCTCCTTCCTCATCTTCCCAGGTGTTGGGATTACAAGCATGAGCCACCATGCTTGCTACGCTGAGGTGTTACTCCATGTGAGGGGACTCCATTTCTCACAGTGTCCTATTCTGGCTATAATTTAAGATATGTAAGGATAAACAGGCCCACGGCAGAGGACATGTCTTCAATTTTCTTTTCTTTTTTTTCTTTTGTCAGTGGTAGGCCTTGAACTCAGTGCCTGGGCACTGTCCTTGAGCAATTTTTGCTCAAGGCTAGTGCTCTACCACTTTGAACCACAGCATCACTTCCAGTTTTTAGTGGTTAATTGGAGATAAGAATGTCACAGACTTTGCTGCCCAGTCTGGCTTTGAACCACCATCCCCAGAGTAGCTAGGATTACAGGTGTGAGCCACTGGCGCCCGGCCATGTCTTTAATTTTCTAGAGCAACTAGCTACCCCACTAGAGTCCCTGACTTGCTGTGTTCACTGGAGGCCATAATGGCTGCCATCTGCACATATCTCAACACTCTGAGGAGAGGTAGCCTCTGACCCTGTGTGGTGCTGCTTTTATCTGGTCTAGCATTTCAAGACTGCATGTACAGGGATAAGGGGACTTGTTACAGCAGTTGCCAGTCCTGTCACTGTATAGTCCACGGTGGATGAGCTATTTGTTTAGGCACTGGGGAGCAGGCCGGCCACCAGGGCAGAGGGGCCAACTTCTCTTCCAGGTTCTCAGGTAGGGCCCTCCCTTCCCTTGTTCTGGAGAACAGGAATTGCTTTAAGCTTCAAATGCAGAGAGGCAGAGCTCTCGGTTGTTGCCTGGGGTACAGTCTTTCCAGTTATTGAAAATATAGCTGCTCTAATCTGACTGCTGACCTTTCTCTACCCATGAGTCATGGTGGACAAGCCTCGAGCCGGTGTTGTGCAGTCGCTGGAGGAAATGCGTCCAGGATGAGCTTCCACGAGAATTTCGCAGGCTAAAGGCAGCCCGGGACTTTGCCAGCAAGTGAGCATTGGTAGTGGGATGAGAGTAGCCCGCTGCTCGGGCCAGGCTTGGGTTGTTTCCAGACATCCAGGTTGCAGCTGCTACAGGACTTGTGTGAATAAGGAAGAACCAAGTTAATAGGCTTTTATTTGACTGAGCAGCTCAGTGTTTTGTTTTGTTTTTTCTTGGTCCTGGGCTTTAACTCAGGATCTGGTCACTGTCCTTAAGCTTCTTTTGTTCAAGGCTAGCACTCTACCACCTGAGTCATAGCTCTACTTCCAGCTTTAGGGGTAGTTAATTGGAGATGAGTTTCATGGACTTTCCTGACCAGGCTGGCTTTGAAACTCCATCCTCAGATCTCAGCCTCCTGAGTAGCCAGGATGACAGGTGTGAGCCACCAGTGCCTGGCACAAGTTGTCTCTTGAGGGCCTCAGCAGGACTCCTTGGTCCCATCTGCCTCCATGGAGAATATCTTGCCAATGCCTTTGGGTCCCACATGGCTAGAGGGCCCAAATCCTGCTCCTCAAATGGGGAAAGCATGCCGTGCCTAATTCCATGATGTTCTTTACACTCCTGCATTGTTTCACTACTTTTCTGCCAGACTTTTACTATGCTGAAAACGGGCACTACCACATTCATGTAGTGATATAGCTGCTGAACCCCCTCTGTCCCTGGCAAGTACCAAGGGTACTGAGGCTTTAGTGGTGCCAAGCCTCTTCCAAGAGCCTACGTCAAGGCGAACAGAGCTTGTCCTCTCAGAATGCCTTGACGTAGAGCAGCACTCTAGTGTGCAAGGCCGACACTGCGCCTGCTGGGTCCTCACGCACAGCTATAGGGCTGACGTAAGCCTCACGTCTGCTGACTCCAGTCCCCTGATGGAAAGGCAGGCCCTGGCTGCTAGGCCAGGTGATATGGTATGACAAAGGGGTAATAATCAGGCTCCGTAATCACATGTTTCTCTGTCTCCCAGTTTCTTCTCTGACTCAGCTTCCCCTGCACCCCACCTGCCCTGGGTCTCAGCTGCTTCTCTGCACTTCGCAGTTAAAGAAGTTGAAAAGGAAAACATCAGGAGACAACTAAAGAGGCTGGACTGTGAAACAGAGGAGGCAAGACCTGGAATTTTTTTTTTCAGTAGTGGGGTCTGAGCTCGGGACTCAAGCTTGGACTCAAGTGTGCTTGGCTTAGTTGTTCAGCTGGTACTTTTTAAAATTTTGGTCGTCATGGGCTTAAACTCTGGGCCTGGTCACTGTCCCTGAGCTCTTCAGCTCAAAGCGAGCCATAGCGCTACTTCTGGTTTTCTGGCTACTTCTGGTTTTCGAGCAGTAAGACCCTTGGAGATAGGAGTCTAATGGACTTTCCTTCCCTTTGAACCACAATTCTCAGATCTCAGCCTCCTGATTAACTAGGATTACTGGCACCTGGCTTCAACATTTGAGCCACATCTCCAATCTGACTTTCTGCCTTCCGAACTTTTCTGTCCAGGTTGGCTTCAAACCACAGTCCTTTCAGCCTCCTGAGTAAGTTGGGTAATAGGCATGAACTAGTGCCTAGCATGACATGGATTTCTTTTTTTTTTTTTTAAATCTAAATAATTGTACAAAGGAGATTTTTTTTTTGGGGGGGGGGGTCCGGTCGTGGGGCCTGAACTCTGGGCCTGGGCGCTGTCCCTCAGCTCTTTAGCTCAAGGCTAGCGCTCTACCACTTGAGCCACAGCGCCACTTCTGGCTTTTTTCTTTTTGCTTATGTGGTGCTGAGGAATCAAACCCAGGGCCTTGAGCATGCAAAGCAAGTGCTCTACCACTGAGCCACCTTCCCAGCCCCAAAGGAGATTTTTTGTTGTTGTTTTTGCCAGTTCTCGGGCTTGGACTCAGGGCTTGGCTGCTGTCCTCTGAGCCTCTGTGTTCAAGGCTAGTGCTCTACTGCTTGCACCATTTCTGGCTTTTTCTGAGTAGTTTACTGGAAAGAAGATTCTAACAAACTTTTCTGCCTGGACTGGCTTTGAACCTGCCCCACAATCCTCAGATCTTAGCCTCCTGAGTAGCTAGGATTATAAGGCATGAGCCTGGGGCACCTGGCTGAGATGGAATTTTTCTTAAAACACATCTTTTCTAGCAAGTTTGTTTTTATTTTTACTTTTTAATTGAGGCTGGTGCCAGTACTAGGGATTAAACTCAGGGCTGGGCACTGTTCCTCTGCTTTTTTGCTAAAGGCTAGCATTCTTACCACGTAGGCCACACCTCCATTTCTGACTTTTTGCTGGTTAGAGATAAAGAGTCTCAAGCCCAGGCTGGCTTCAAACTTCAGTCCTCAGATCTCAATCTCCTAAGTAGCTAGACATGAGCCACCAGCACCTAATAATTTCCTAAGTTTTTAACTATTCAGAGGCAAGTATGAAAGGCCCCATCAGCAGTAAACTATTTTTAATATCTCCTAAAAGCTGGGTGGCTCACACTGGTATCCTAACTACTTAGGAGGCTGAAATCTGAGGTTTGCATTTTGAAGCTGGTCCAAACATACACACATGCTGGAAGTGGTGCATTGGCTCAAGTGGTGGAGTGTTAGCCTTGCACAAAAAAGCTAGGAGACAGTGACAGGCTGGAGATTTTTTTTTCCTGCTAAGATCTTCTCAAAAGACTTAGGCCGGGGCTGGGAAGGTGGCTCAGCAGTAGAGTGCTTGCCTTACATGCATGAGGCACTGGGTTTGATTCCTCAGCACCACATAAGCAGAAAAAGCTGGAAGTGGCGCTGTGGCTGAAGTGGTAGAGCGCTAGTCTTGAGCTGAAGAGATAAGGGACAGTGCCCAGGCCCAGAGTTCAGGCACCACAACCGACCAAAAAAAAAAAAAAAAAAGACTTAGGCCCTAGGGGCTGGGAAGGTGGCTCAGTGGTAGAGTGCTTGCCTTGCATGCATGAGGCCCTGGGTTTGATTCCTCAGCACCACGTAAGCAGAAAAAGTCAGAAGTGGCGCTGTGGCTCAAGTGGTAGAGCGCTAGCCTTGAGCTGAAGAGCTGAGGGACAGCACCCAGGCCCAGAGTTCAGGTCCCATGACCGACAAAAAAAAAAAAAAAAGACTTAGGCCCTAAAGAAGGTGCTGGTGGCTCACACCTATAACTGTAACTACTCAAGAGACTGAGATCTAAGGATCGTGGTTTGAAGCCAACCTGGGTAGGAAAGCCTGTGAGACTCTTATCTCCAATCAACTATTAAAAAAAATAATAAGAAAAATCAGATGTGAAGCTGTGGCTCAAGTGGTAGAATGCTGGCCTTAAGCAGCAAATAAGCTCAAAGTTAGTGCACAATCCCAGAGTTCAAGCTCCAGGGCAGGCACCTTAAAAAACAAAAACAAAGGCCCCAGTCTTACAGGCTCATTGGAGGGCTCTACAGGTCAGGTCTTACAGGGGTTAGAGCCCTGGCTAACTGTTGGGAATATGACCTACTCTCACCTGCAGCTGTTGGTCTGCCTCCTTTTCTTCTCCCTGACTGGCTTGCTGTCATCGCATCTGACCCCAGACGTAAGTCAGACTCTTCAGGTGAGGCACCCCACACCCCCGGGGCCAGGCTACAATACCAGAGTGCATCCTAGATGGTCCTCTGGGTATCTCAGGTTGTTTGCTACATTGTCTTCCTTAGGGTGTCTTGACGTGCATGCTTCCCCTTGCACCCAAACCTTTTTACCTGACCTGGGCGACATTTCTTACACTGTCACAAGTTCTAGATTTTGAAGGAATAAAGACCCCCTAGTGCTCTTAAGAACTCAGCCTTGGGGGCTGGGAAGGTGTCTCAGTGGTAGAGTGCATGCCTTGCAAGCATAAGGCCCTGGGTTTGATTCCTCACCACCACATAAACAAAAAGAAAAAAGCCGGAAGTGGCGCTGTGGCTCCAGTGGTAGAGCGCTAGCCTTGAGCTGAAGAGCTGAGGGACAGCGCCCAGGCCCAGAGTTCAGGCCTCATGACCGGCAAAAAAAAAAAAAAAAGAACTCAGCCTTATCCAGTCAGTACAGAGGTCAGCATTACATCAGCTTGGTCTTCTCTGTGGGCCATAGGATGCGAGGGACTACACGAAGGCTGTGGACATCTCTGCTGAGGTCCTTGCATGTTTGGAGAGGAGGAAGGTGTCCTGGCTTGTACTCTTCCAGTTGACAGAGACAGGTAAGCAAGCATGAGTCTTCTGAGACCTGACATGGAAGGAAAGTGGCCCTGTCCTGCATTAGGCAGATGTTAGCTGATCCGATGCCAAATATCATTCTCTTTAGGAGCAACTTTCAAATGACGGAGGACAAGGCCTCCTGGGAGCTCACTTTGCAAACTCATTTTCTCAAGTTTATCTTTCTGCTGAGTTATAAACTCAGTATGCACTTATGTAAAGCAACAGAAGGCTGTATCAGAGCACTTTGGAGGACCGCAGTGCTACTGGTCTGAGAAATGGACCCACAAGCCTGTTGTGTGGGGTGGGTAGGCGTTGCATGCCCACCTCCCAGACTTTGCTCTCCTTTGTATTCCCAGACCCTTTCCCTGCAGCACTGACAGATGTCAGAACCAGATACCTTATGCCGTCATTGGTCACTAGACATAGATCTCCCCTCCAAGGGAGCCTGGCCCTGGCACACAGCTGATTGAGCCCCTCTGTGTTGCAGATGGTGGCCTGGGGCACCTCCTCCTCCGCCTGGCCCCAGATCAGCATATCAGGCTGCTGCCATTTGCCTTCTACAGGTAACCAAACCCACCTTCCTGGTCTACAGAATGAACCCTAGCCTGTAGGGCCTGGGTGGTAAGAAGGTGCTGTTTTCCTAGGGTCTCCCAGTAGGTGAAGAATGCCTGTCACTACCACAGGAGTGGACATTCTCTACTTCTACTTACATTCAGCACCTTCAAGTCTTTTGTAATCTCTTCTTTACCTCTAGTCTTTTGTCCCACTTCAATGAAGACACTGTTGTCAGGGAAGAGGCCTTCCTGTATGTTGCGGCAGACATGTACTTCAAGCTGGTTCAGCTCTTTGTGGACGGGGAGATGAGGGCTGCCTCATCCTGTGCTAGCAGGAGCCCACGGCCCCAGGGCCAGCCCCCTCTCCAGGTGAGCTCCCCAGCTGTCCACGTGGTTCCTGCCGAGGATTTGGGGATCCTGGCTCAGTACACCTCCCCGTGACTGCCATCTTTTCTCTAGGGTAGCCCTGTTCAACTGGTAATGGAAGCCCGCCTTTTCCTACTGCAGTTAATACCCCGATGCCCAAGACAGAGTTTTTCAAACATGGCAGAGGTAACACACCCTCCCTGGGCTAACCCGCACTTGGGGGAAATGAGGGCATCTGTAGCACTTGGCTGTATGTCCATGGGCTGGCAGGGAACTCAGTGTCCCCACCAGGCCTGCCCTGTGCGTCCCATGGTCTTCAGACAGCTCACTCGGGCCGTCCTGTCTGGCTGAAGGGCTGAGCAATGTATTTCTTCACAGCTGGTGGCGGGTCACGGAGTCTCTGACCCCGAGGTGAGCGCTGCCCTCCTGGGCAGACAGAAGGCTGACCCCCACCTCCACCCGGACCCCGATCTCTTCTGAATGTGCTCGATCCAGGTCCTTTGTAAATAATTTATTGCAAGCATAACATGGAGCTCTGGTTTCACTAGAAAGTGGATTACAAATCTCCTTAGTTGCTCTAGTTAGGAAAAGTTAACAATTATTCATGATCTGTGTCTGACCCTGGGGAGCTCAGTGTTTGCTGGTCCCAAAGCAGAAAATAAAAGGCCATATGGAATACACTGAGCTGCTTGCACTGCGAGGAAGAATTTCCCCCTGGCCCTTGTACACAGCTGCACAGGTGTGGTGGGTGCAGCGTAGGGCTCCACAGTGCTGGAACGGTGCCAAAGGTACAAGGAAAATTAAGGTGTCTTTGAACCTCACATCAATGTCCACTGAGGTCAAGCTGCTCAACATCGTCTGTCTGCAGTCCTCAGGTTGGCTCTGGCTTCATGTCCTGGCTCTTCGTGGTCCCAGAGCAGCTTGGGGGCCCAGGTAGGGGCTCTGCTTCCAGAGGCAGGGCTTTGTCCTGGGTCTGTGTCAGAGGGTGCACCATGGACATGTGTACATTGAGGTTGTGGGCTTTCTCAAACCGCCGGCCGCACTGGTCGCAGGCAAAATCGAGCTCAGCCTCCGCCTTGTGTTTGGTCATGTGGTACTTGAGGGATGCCCGCTGCCTGCACTGGAAACCACAGACCTCACACCTGTGGGCAGAGGTGGCAAGGAGACAGATGAGGAACCGTGAGCCCGGCTCAGCCTCGGGGGCAAGCGGAGGAAAGGCCCCACCCACACCTACTGCAGTGGTTTGGCTCCCGAGTGGCGCATCTGGTGGACAAGGAGGTGCTTCCGCTGCTTGAAGGTCTGCCCACACTCGTCACAGATGTAGTTGCGCACCTCTGCAAGACCAGAGAGGGCGTGAGCACGGGCCCCCAAACGCTCAGATCTGCCCCTTGAGGGCTGACGGTCTGACTGTTAGAACAGGAAGAGCAGTTACTATCTAGCACATCGTAGGATAGGCCCAAGCAAGGGCCTCATGACCAGAGATCATTTTCAGAGCCCTTCCTTACAAAAGGTTCCTAAGCCAGCGGGGCGCCAGTGACTCACGCCTGTAATCCTAGCTGAGGCTGAGATTTGAGGATCACAATTCAAAGCCAGCCCAGGCAGGAAAGTCCGTGAGACTCTTTATCTCTAATAAACCACTATAAAACCAGAAGTGGTGCTGTGGTTCAAGCGGTAGAGCGCTCACCTTGAGCTGTAGAGCGCAGGGACAGCGCCCAGACCCCGGAGTTCAAGCCCCATGATGGGCCAGAGGGCGGGGGGGGGGGGGTTGAGTTCTTAGGCTATGTGAGAATGTTGCCACTCTTTAGTGATCATTCCCCATAATTAGGAGCCCACACAGTTGGGGAAGACCACTGGCGGAGTATAATGGCTCCATCTACTCTGGCAATCACCCCTGCACTGCCTGCACACCTGCTTGTTCTCCACTCTAGACTTGAATCTGTTTTATCTCTTTAGAAAGTTGCTTGCTTGAACACTGGCCTGGAGTAGAGCCTGAAGCTCCCAACCTAAGGAAATTACTACATGTAAGAATTCTTAGAGCAAAAAGTACAAATAACCCAAATGTCAAAGGACAATGACCCAGCAATGGAAATGAACAAATCTTAGTAAGAAAAGACTATAAAATGCATCATTGTACCCAGCTCAAAATAACTATTGTTTAAGGACTGATGTATAACAAATCTGACATCCCTTCCATAGGCACTGGTATAAGTTAATGAATGGTTAGAATGGGAGGGAAAATAAAAATCGTGATATAGGTCCCCAAGGTTAGAACATGTCTGCAGAGTAAATGCTGGAAGAATAAATCCTCAGGTGGCTGGTGGTGTATGAGTGGGAGATCCTTATTTTTTATTTCTATGAAATATAAGTCACTTTTATAGTCCAAAAAGGGTATCATTAGAATTGCTCTTTTTCTTTTCTTGGTTGGTTGTGGGGCTTGAACTCTTGGCATGAGCACTGTCCCTGAGCTCTTCAGCTCAAGGTGAATGCTCTACCACTTGAGCCACAGTGTCACTTTTTTTTTTTCTGGTAGCTTATTGGAGACAGGAGTCTTATGGACATTTCCTGCCCAGGCTGGCTTTGAACCTTGATCCCTAGATCTCAGCCCCTGAGTAGCTAGGATTACAGGCATGAGCCACCAGTGCCCAGCCTGGTCATTTGTTTTTATTTTTTGTTGTTGTTGTTGGTTGTGGGGCTTGAACCTGGGGGGCTGCGTGTTGTTCTTCAGCTCAAGGCGAGCACTCTACCACTTCAGCTACAGTGCCACTTCCAGTTTTCTGGTGGTTAATTAGATATAAGAGTCTCACAGCTTTTTCTGCCCAGGCTGGCTTTGAACCACGATCCCCAGATCTCCTGAGTAGCCAGGATGACAGGTGTGAGCCCCAGCGCCTAGCCTGTTGGTTTTGTTCTTTTTTGCCAGTCAGTCCTGGGGCTTGAAAAACAGGGCCTGGGTGCTGTCCCTGAGCTTCTTCTGCTCAAGGCTAGCACTCTACCACTTGAGCCACAGCACCACTTCCGGCTGTTACCACTAAGCTACATTCCCAGCTCTGTTCATTTGTTTTTTTAAAAAAAAAAAACAAAACCTCAGAGGGGCTGGGCATGGGTCACTCATACCTGTCATCCTAGCTACTCAGGAGGCTGACATCTGAAAAGCCCAGTTCAAAGCTAGCCTGGGCAGAAAAGTCTGAGAGACTTAGCTCCAATTAACTACTAGAGGGGCTGGGAAGGTGGCTCAGTGGTAGAGCGCTTGCCTTGCATGCCTGAGGCCCTGGGTTTGATTCCTCAGCACCACATAAGCAAAAAGAAAAAAGCTGGAAGTGGCGCTGTGGCTCAAGTGGTAGAGTGCTAGCCTTGAGCTGAAGAGCTGAGGGACAGCGCCCAGGCCCAGAGTTCAGGCCCCACAACTGGACCCAAAAAAAACAACTACTAGAAACCAGATGTGGCACTGTGGGCTCTAGTGGTAAAGTGCTGACCTTGAACTGAAGAGCTGAGACCAGTGCCCAGGCCCCAGATTTCAAGCCCCATGACCAACAAGAACAAAAAGTTCAGGGATAGCTCCCTGAGCCTCAGAACCAACACAAAAATGTGTCCCAGCTCTTGTAAGCCACCTGGGCATGTCTGCTCATGGATGGATTTGTCCACCACCAGTCAAATCTGTGCTTGATCAGAGGCCTGACCTGAGGCAGGTACCTGTATGGATGAGCTTCACGTGGCGTTGCAGGTAGCGGTCAATCATGAACACCTTGTTGCAGCCAGGATGGGGGCAGGGCCTCTCCCGAACTTCCTCATGGTGCTCCTTAATGTGCTTCTGCAGGAGGGAGGGCAAGAGATGGGCGTACTTTCTCCAGACAAACACCTTCCAAACGCTTCCAAAGAACCCAGATGATGGCCTGCCCTCCTGGGTCTGTCTCCAACTACAGGCTGCTAACAGCGTTTGACCCAAACAGTACCCACTCTTACCTTCATGCCATCAGCTCCACGGTATACAGCCGTGCAGCCCTGGTAAGGACACTTGTAGATAGTGGGCAGTTCCTCCCTGCAGGACAGACAGAGCACATGGCGCTGCCACCCCAGCAGTGCGCTCCCTGCCTCCCCGCACAGAGGCAGCAGCCCGCCTCACCTCTCACAGCGCAGCTGCTGCTTCCATCCAGGCTTAGGCCCAGGCTTCCTTCGAATTTTTGGCTCTTCAGCCTTCTTGGCTTCTTTGCTTTCTTGCTTTTTACCAGAGACTCTGGGAAAAAAACAGATGTGCTCAGACTGATATTTCTGATCTAAATGATTCTCACCTGCTCTCTTCACCAGAGGTTCTTCTTCAAGCTTCAGTAATTGAGATGTTTCTTTGAGAGCTGGTTGGCCCCCAGATGAAAAAAAAATTTTTTTTTGCCAGTCCTAGGGCAAGCTGTAGGACTGAGCTGAGTCCCTGAGCCTCTCTGCTCAAGGATAGCACTCCTCCACTGAGCCACATTCCCAGACCTCCCCAGATTCTTTCTTAGCCACCTCAGGAAGGTGTGCGGCCCGGGCGAGATAGCAGACAGTGGTGGCACACACTTGCATTTTCAGAACTGAAACCCCACCCTACTGTTTTTATCGTCTACCCCCCAAATCTAAAAGTAGGGGGAGCAGGGAGCTTAAGGAATCAGTCCTTGGCCAGACGACCTCAGCCTAACAGCACCCTGCAGCCAAGTCCTGGTCGCCAGCCCCAAACCCAGTTACATTCTTACATACTACCTGAACAATTTAACAAGGAAGTTGAGAAAACAATTCATTTCCAATTGCATCAAAAAGAATAAAACACTGGGGGAGGGGGGACTGGGAAGGTGGCTCAGGGGTAGAGTGCTTGCCTTGCATGCATGAGGCCCTGGGTTTGATTCCTCAGCACCACAGAAACAGAAAAGGCTGGAAGTGGTGCTGTGGCTCAAGTAGTAGAGTGCTAGCCTTGAGCTGAAGAGCTGAGGGACAGTGCTCAGGCCCAGAGTTCAGGCCATACAACCAACCAAATAAATAAATACTGGGGTTGGAGATTTGAGTCAGTAGTTGGTAGAGCACCAGCCAATGAGTAAAAATATTAAGTACTGAGTTGAGTCTTGCTCTTGGGGGAAAAAAAAGAATAAAACACTTAGCTGGCAAAAGGGATACATAGAACCATATATTCAGAAGACTTAGGCAGTGGAACCATTTGAGTCCACATATTCAAGAATAGCCTGTGCCTGGTACTGGTAGCACACACTTATAATCCTAGGTACTCAGGAGGCTGAGATCTGAGGATTGCAGTTCAAAGCCAGCCCGGGCAGGAGAGTCCCTGAGACTTTTGTCAGTTGTGGGGCTGGACCTTGGAGCCTGGATGCTGTTCCGGAGCTCCTTAGTGCTCCACCACTGAGCCAGTGCCACCTCTTGTTTTCTGGTGGTTAACTGGAGATGAGTCTCATGAACAACAAAAAATCACTTTTTAAAAATAATGTCTCAAGTGTCTCATAGAACACCTGCTCAGCAAGCACAAGGCCCTGGA